ATTAACGTCTTTAAATATCATGAAACATAAACTATGCAATGCGTAAAAACTGTAAAGATTCTGTCAGGATTCTTAACTGCATTGGAACCCCTAACTAAACAGAAGAAGATGTATGAAAAATAAAATAAATGGAAATCAGCAAAACAGATGAGTGATATGAAGTAAAATAAAGTAAATGAATTAAGCATGAGGGGAAATTAAGTAAGAACAGTAAAATAAGGTTAAAAAGGAAAGTAAAAAGAAAATATTGAAATGAAATACAAGTAGAATAAAGCTAATACTGTAAAGGAGAAGAAAACATGATTGGTTAATAATAAATATATGAAGTGATGGAAAAGTTAACTTTTTTAAAAATGAACAAAAAAACTGAATCTTTTTCTCCAAAGACTCAAAGTTGGCTGAGGTATAAAGTGTCTCAGATGTTTGAGCTGGTACAACTCTGTTTAACTTACCAAGAGAAAAACATACATCCAGTGCTAAGCTATCTCTGAACTAATCTCATGGGGCTGCTCTTGATTAAGATCAGTATCAGAGCTACGGCAGTACAGTAAAACATTTTTCTATGGGAACCAAAGAAACCAGGAAAAAATTAAGCAAACAGAAAGAAAAGAGGGGACTTTGTCTATAAGACCGAAGACGGTATACATCAGCATGGGAAAGTGATGGAAAACTGAGAATACTGGATATAAACAGATGAGGTTTTGCCCAGCGTATAACCCGAGGGTGAAATCTGCCTCGCTTCGTACATTTCTTAAAGACTCAGAAATGTATGGAACAAATTACAATATTTTCTGACTGCCCTTCATGTACAGATGGAAAAGTTTCATCCACTTATCATGGGCATGTTTCAAAAGAAGAACTGGGTGCACAAATTTGAATTGTTCATATTATCTAATCCACACATGGTCAAAATCTAAATAATGGCTCAAAAAAATACATACATTCACCTAAATCCTAAAGAAAGGTCTTGAAGACTCATTGATGCATTTTAACTTTACTAGGACAAAGGCTTTTCATTAGTGATCATGATGATTGACAGCAGCTGGCAGTTTCTCTTTTGCCAGTTTAAAACCATTTGAACAATACTCAGAGCAAGTAGGGAGTCCAGTGAACTCAGAGAAGATCTAACAAGAGGGACCTAGAAGAGTTAGGATGTTCAGGAACAACCTCGGACCCGCCAAGCCTCATGCCTGCCAAAAACTGTAAAGTGCTGGAACATTACTGTCCCCGTTAGTGAAGCCAGTTTTACATCCCCATCACCTGTTGACCAAACATGAGGCCCCTGTTCCAAAAGAAACACTTAAGTTTGACAGACTAGCCATATGCCTCCTAAAGAAAAGTTTAGAGTTAAAGAAAAACATTGAATTATTTGACCACAGCGACAAGACAAATGTTTGGTGGAGTCAAGGTGAAGCTTTCAAACTTAAAAACGATGTACCAACTGTTAAGCATAGAGGTGGTACCATCATGCTGTGATATTGGTGCTTAGCACAAAGCAGCTGGAATAATTAAGAGGCAGAACTACCTCCAAATTCTTCAACTTCACATCAAATCAACAGCTAGATAATTGAGACTTGGATATAGTTAGATGTTCTTACAGGACAATAATCATAAACATATGAGGCTTTTATAGAGCTTCTGAACCTACATCACTGCGTTGGGGGCGCTAACATCTTGCTCGTCACTTTACCTGTCCACAGACAAAAACAAACTCCAGTGTTTGTCTATGGTGTCACCGCTGTATCCTCCTTCATAACTCTGTAAAGCTGCTCAAAACAACGTGGACTGTATCGTGACAAACTTCTCCCAGAGGACAAAAAGGGTAAATGGAAAAAACAGGTAAAATTGGAAATGTCGCCCGTTAGAAAAAACAAAAAGAGGACCAGAGACCCCAAGAAATATTTGCTTCCACTGACATTCCCAGCAGACCTGGTGTGTGTCAGAGTTTACACTGCAAAGCATTTCAAGAATTACAAGTCACTGGGAGCACTGGTCCAATCTGTGAAGGGCTGGGTGGATGGTTTGAACATTTTTAAAGCCCCAGATTGTGAATACGTTGTAGTTTGAACAAAGGTACGTTGTTCTTGGCTCCTTAATTTTACATAAATTATTAATGTACATTATTTTAGAATCAACCGTCTGTATATTGTGAATATTAAAAAGTCAGAACTCGTGACTTTTAAAGTATGTTTTTAACTGATTCTGTATCTGAAAAAGTCTTGTTTGTCAAGGTCAAATTTTTCCTGCAGTTGTTGGAAACTTTCCATATCCGTTCCAGAAGAAATCCCGCAGTATGATGTAATGCCTTTTCTAGTTAGTTGATTACATTTTGAGTCAAGTTGTGCTGGTACAAAGTCTCTATCGTGCTCAATCCGTCTTAACAATCGAGTTTTCCTCTCTAAAAGTGGGTTGTGGAACTCTAAACCAGATGTCGAGAGGGACTTTTGTTGAAACACACAGCTCATTTGAATATTTAGTCTTGAGGTGTTTATCCCCAGCAGGGCTTGCAGGGGGATGTCAATTTGACTTAGTTCTAGTTCTTTCCATTTTGCTTCATACCTCTCTTCACACCAGTAAACCACAACTTGCAGTTGAGCTGCTCTGTAATAATTTTCCAAACATGGGAGTGACATTCCTCCTCTATCTCTTGGTAACTGTAACGTTTTATAGCGTACCCTTGGTTTCTTATTCCGCCATAGAAACCTGGAGATGATCCAGTTCCACTCATTAAACTGCTTAGTAGGAATTTCTATTGATAAAGATTGAAAAAGGAACAACAGTTGAGGTAAAATGATCATTTTCATGGTTTCTATTCGTTGTACAAATCGAGCGTCAGGGGAGCCCATCTGTCCAGGTTATTTGTTACTTTACTAGTCATAGTACCATAGTTTGCTTTGTATATCTTGTTTAAGTTTTTAGTAATATTAACACCTAAATATTTCATGGTTTTTGTTTTCCAGTTAAATTTGAACTGATTACTTATATCCTCTTGGGGTGCGTAGTTAAAGCTCAGGGTCTGTGTTTTTCCAATGTTTCATTTATAGCCTGAGTAAAGTCCAAATTGGTGGAGGCAGGACATGAGGTTAGGTAG